AAAAAAAAAAAAAAAGAAAGAAAGAAAGAAAGAAAGAGAAAAAAAAGCAGAGGCAATGTAAATGTCCATGGACACAAGACTAACAAAAAACCTTGTTGTATATAGAACAAGGTATGTTGTGCCTGGGCTCAAGCTTGCTGTCTCCTGTAGCCTGCCAGAGTACTGGGATTACAGACATGCCACATGCCTGGCTTGACTTTTTTAGAAACCACCAAAACAACAGTATGATTCCATTGATTAAAAAAAGTCAAACTAATACAAAACAAAAACTATCATATAGAGAGATCTATTGTTCTTTTTAAAGACCAGAACGTGATTAATATATAGTATTTCCCGCTGTTATGGATGAGGAAGGGGTCACCACAGATCACAGAGCGGACTTCAAAAGTATTGGAAATGTCCTCTCCCTTAAACCAGGAGATAGGTTCAAAAGTTTGGCACATGTCCTTAGCAGCCTGCTGTGATATTTCTGTCTGGAATTAAGACAGAAAATCTGTAATCACAAGTGGCTGGGCTCGGGATGCAGCTCAGGGGTAGGGAGCTTGCCCAGCATGCACAAGGCTGTCCGCAGCACTGCAAATCAACGCTTCCTAGGCAGAATGTAAAGCAACAGCTCCGAGAAACCTGAGCTGGCCTCACATGGCAGATGGCCGACAGCCATGGCCATTGCCCTGAAGTATTCTGCATAGGCATTTCTCCCGGGCTGTGGAGGTTCAGAAAAGACCCTGATGCCAGAGCTTGGAAAAGAGGTAGAAATGGCTGCTCTAAGGAAAACGCTGCCTTGGGCCCGCAGAGATGAATACGCAGAATAAGCACTTCCCTGGCAAGTGCAAGGGCCTGAGTTCAATCCCCAGTTCTGCCAAAATTAAAAAAAAAAAAAAAGAAAGAAAGAAAGAAAAGAAAAGAAAAGAAAAAGACTGCCTTTAGCAGGTATGCGCTGAATGTGTGTGGTGATGGTGACACCAGAGCATTGTGAAGGGTTCCTTGTTGGGTCACAAGAACATTAGAAAACAACATATGACCGTACTGAAATCTATTCATTCAACAAATATTTGCTAAGCACCTACTATGTATTAGTCATAATTTTAAGCAATATAAGTGTTTATGAAAAATAAGTAAACACACTAAAGGGAGATATGTATAGCAAAACATGTGTTGATTACATTCCTGAACTAAAATTTATATTCTAAACTATAATAATCTCAAATTGATATGTCAGATTTTCAGTTCTACCAAGACATTAAAGAACCTATTATTGATGATAGGTGGTATGTTAATACATACTTGGGTTGTAAGAGATTTCCATTTTGTTGATTTTTTTTCACTTTATGTATTTGGTATATGATATAGCTCAGTGGCCTAAGCGCCTGCCTGGCAAGCGCAAGATCCTGAATTTGATTCCCAGTACTGCAAAAAATAAATGAAGGAGGCCTGCCAGTTAGCTCAGTTGTTTAAGTGCCTGCTCATGCAGATGCAGTCAGGCTCAGGATACCGTAGTTCGATCCCCAGCTCTACCTGCCTTACCAGACCCACCCTTAAGGCAGCGTGAACCAGCCAAAAAAGAAAAAAAAAAAAAAAAAATCTTCTCAACTTTAAAAATAAAATAAAATAAATTAAGTAAGAAAGTAGCTATACTTCTTACTTGGTCAGATTTGTGTATAAGCAGTGCTATATTTGACAGCTACATATGCTGTTTTTCTAACTCAAAAATAGGTCACACTCATCCTAAAATTTTGCTTGGAAATTTTTTTCATTCAAGATTTTGGACCTGCAGCAGAAATTAGAACACGCTCGTGACGTCTGTCTCACAGACACTTGTTCTTTGAGGAAGAAGCAACTAGAGGAAAAGGTCAATGAAGCTACAGAAAACGAAGTGAAGTTAAAGCAGCAGTATCAGGAAGAGCAGCAGAAGAGGTAGAAGGAGCAGAGAGCAGCAGGCTCGCTCCAGGCGGGCGTGTAGGGGGGAGCAGGGGGTCGGAGTGCGCGGGGGGCACTGCTGCTTTACTAAGTCAGTGTGCTTTCTGTCTCGTTCAAGGGAACTCACCTGCGTGACTTTTTTTTTTTTTTTTTTTTTTTTCCTCATAGTGGGGATGAAACTCGGGACCACGTTCTTACCAGGCAGGCACTTATGCTGCTGAGCTATCTCCCTGGCCCCTGTATGACTTCTTATCTTCAGCACTTAGCATAATGAAACTTTTTTTTTTTTTTTTTTTTTTTTTTTTTTTGACTCTGGCCCCAGCCTGTGGGATTCCTAGAGACTTTTTTCTTCTTGTTTTGGGGCATACCTGGTGCATAGGCAAATTGTCTTGAATGACTGGATTGTCTATAAAATACGGTATTCTGGGATTTGTTTTTCTAACTCTCTCATGTGATTGGCACAAATTCAAACAACAATGAGGTTGGCGCCTTGTATTTCTCCACTAATCTTTTGCAGAGTGTCTCCACTGGCTTTATAGCCATAGTTTTGTGGGTTTTGTTTTTGTTTTTTCAGCTCTGGGGATTGAACTCAGGCCCTTGCGCTTTCCAGGGAAGCGCTTTTTCTACTGAGCCATCTCCCTGGCCCCTTTGTGGGTTTTTTGTTGTTGTTGTTGTTGTTTTGCGTTTTTTTTTTTTTTTTGTTTGTTTGTTTGTTGAGACAGGGCCTCACTATGTAGTTCAGTGTGGTCTTAAAAGGTATTATGTAGCCCAGGCTGGCCTTAAGCGCTCAGCAGTACTCTGCCTCAGCCTCCCGAGTACCGGCATTAGAGTAGTGGCATTATAGGCATGTGGCACTACACCCAGCTTGGGCATTTTAATCAACAAACTGCTACTGCATAAGAGCTATCATTTATGGGTTTTTTTCTAAGATTATGGTTATAATTATGCTTCTCATTTAAAGCATCTGCTCAGGTACCTAGACTTCAGTGACCAAGGTCTTTTGCTTATTTGTAAGCAAGTCAGAGTGACTCACACACAACTCCCTACCTCGCACCCCTTAAAATCCTTCTGTAGCCCCCCATTACTATTAAGGGGAAGTCCAAGCTGGTCACCGTGACTGTGACGTGCTAATCTCTGATGGACTATGCCAAGCCTGCCTTTCTGACCTCTTTTCTTGTAACTCTCACCGCCAAACATTTTATTCTAGCCAGTGCACAGTAAGTGCCATGCACAGGCTATTCACCGGGCATCGTTCATCAGAGCAAAAGAAAGCAAGAATGGCGTATTAAGCAGCGGGCACCTGTGATCCCAGCTACTCAGGAGGCTGAGCCCAGAGGATCACTTGAACGTGGGCACTCTAGGCCAGTCTGGGAAACATAATGAGACTGTCTCAAAAACACAAATGGAAGACATTCCATAGCTGGTGTGATGTCCCTGAATATGTAAGTGTATTATGCTTCTCCAGAGAAATAGAACCAATAGAACATACTTAATTATAAGGGGATTTCAAGCACCGGCTCATACCAGCAGAGGCTGAGTGGTCCCACAGTGACCGTCTGCTGGCAGGAGAGCTGGGGGAGCAGGCCTGCCCCATCCAGTGAGCCAGCAGCCTCAGAACAAGAGGCACCAGGATGCAGCCCCAGGTTGAGGCTGAAGGCCTGAGACTCCCAGAGAGTGGCTGGTGCAAGCCCCGTGCAGAGGCCAAAAAACCTAGAGTTTGGTGCCAGGAGGGACAGCAGCAGGAGAAGATGTCCCACTCAAAAGAGCCACAGCTGCAAGAAGGCTAATGTCTGTGCTCTGCCTTCTTGTTCTTCTGGGCCCACCCGTTAAATGCTGCTGCCCACATCCAGGGCAGGTCCTCCGCACTCAGCTCAGACCCACAGGCCAGTCTTCTCTGCAGGCTCCTCAAGCCCCAGACACCTGCTTTCCCAAGTGTTTAGGCGTCCCTCAAGCTCATCAGGATGACAACCAGAAGGAACGTCACACTGTGGGACAGAATGCTGCACTGTTGCTTACAGTGGTAGTATATTATGAAACTCAATGGGTAAAACATTGATGAAAAATCCCAAGAATTCAGAGATGGCATACTTCTTAATACATGATACATGATTCTTGAGAAATTTAAAATATCTTGAAGTAAAAAAAAACGAAAATACAACCTATACTCACTCAAGAGGCTTAGACAGGAGGATCTCTGTGAGTTTGAGACCCACCTGGGTTACAAAGTGAGTTCAAGGCCATCCAGAGCTACATAGCAAGACCCTGTCTCAAAAAGACAGAAAGAAAACAAAACAGGGGGCTAAGGAGATAGCTCAGCAGACTAAGTACCTGCCTGGAAGGCACAAGAACTGGAGTTCGATCCCCAGTACTGCATGCCATGCTAGCCCAAGAATCCTGGCATAGTGGTGCACACCTGTAATCCCAGTGCTAGGGAGGCTAAAACAGGAGGATCACTATGAGTCTGAACTGCATAGCAAGACCCTGTATCCAATTTAAAAAAAAAGAAAGAAAGAAAGAAAAGAAACTATAACTTACAAAATTTGTAGAAATCTAAAATCAATAATTAAGCTTATACCTTAAGAACTAGAGAAAGATAAGAATTATAACTCTAGGGGCCAGGGAGATGGCTCAGTAGAATAAGCGCTTGCCTGGCAAGTGCAAGGGCCTGAGTTCAATCCCTAGTCCCACCAAAAAAAAAAAAAAAAAAAAAAAAAAGAATTATAACTCTAAAACAAACAAAAGAGAAAGAGAATGCTAATCAATGAGATTGAAAACAAAGAAAAAATTGATGAAACCTAAAGATGGTTCTTTGAAAAGACTAATAAAATTGGAACAATTCTAGCTAGCTTAACCAAAAATATAGAAATTACTAATATCAGAAATGAAAAGTCAGGATACGTACTGATCCCATGGAAATTAAAAGGATACAGGACAGTTCTGTTCCTACAAATCTAATAACCTGTATGAAATGGACCAATTCCTCAAAAGACATAAACTAATGAACAATCGTAATAAGTCTATTCAGTAGTCAGTATCTACTAAAGTAATTGAATCCTGCAGGGCATGGTAGCACACATCTGTAGCCCCGGGAGCCTGAGATGGAAGCGATCACTTACCTCACGAGTTCATTACCTATCCTGGAAACATGGCGATGACAAGACTCCCATCTCAAGAAAAACAAAGGAGGGGGGGCAGGGAGATGGCTCAGTGGAATAAGCACTTCCCTGGCAAGTGCAAGGGTCTGAGTTCAATCCACCGTTCTGAAAACAAAAACCTACCTGGCAGTGGAGATACCATTATCACGAAGGTAGCTTTCCTGGGGTGAGGCTTACCCACTACACCCCTGCGATTTCCCCAAATGTGGGAAACTCGACTGTATAATTTGTGGTAGTGGGGGACTGTGATTGTTGATGTTCTTCCCACCTTATTACCATCTTCACTTCTTCATTGTGCTATAGATAGGTAGACAGAGAGACAGATAGATAGATGCCAGGAATCCAACTCAGGACCTCCAGCTTGCCAGGCAGGATCTGTGCCACTGGGCTATACTATCCTGGCTTTGTCCTGTAGACTTTAAGCTCCAGAATATGACACAAAGATGACAGCCACGGCGACTATGAAATCAGTGCTTATAATTGCATTAGACCAAATCTTTATAGCAAATCTTTTACTAAGGCTGGGGATGTAGCTCAGTGACAGAGCACTTAGCCAGCATATGTGCAGCCCGGGTTTCAATTCCAGCACTGAGAAATGGAGGGAGAGAGTGAAGGGAGGAAGGAGTGAGGAAGGGAGGGGAGAGAGGAGGAAAGAAGGAAAAAGAGGAAAGGAAGAGGAAGAAGAAAAGAAGAGAAGGGAAGTATGGGGAGGAAGAGGAGGAGTAGGAAGAAAGAGAAGAGAGGCAGGGAAGGATGGATGGAAAGAAAGAGGAAAGAGAAAGAACTTTTGACTAGGTCAAAATTTGAAGGAACTTTGGCTGCTATGTAAAGGATGATTTGGGAAAATACTGCACCTTGTACTCATCTTTATTTATTTATTTATTTTTGGTATAGGGTCTACAGGGTCTCACTACATAGACTGGACTCTAGTGATCCACCTGTGTTCAGCCTCCCACGAGCTGGGATTACAGGCCTGCGCCACCATGCCCAGTCTCAACTGCCTCTCAGTATGCCCTGAGGGTGGGGCCAATCCTCATACCAGGGATGGACCCCGGCCCCTGCATCTGTCTTAGCAGGCGCTTCAATCCACTGAGCTGTTTGGCCGACCCTCATCTTTATTTTTTTTCCTCATTTTTATTTTTAATACTCTATATAATATATGAACTAATTTCTAACATTTATGAGTTGCTGTTTTAATTTTGACTTCCTACTTTTCAATTTCAGTTTCAACTTCCTGGGCTTATCTCTTAGTGCGGTTCCTTGATCAGAAACTAAAAATGGAGCAAAAAAGAAGGCAATAATAGCAGGGAATTGTTCAAATATACAGACAGTAAATTAAAAATGACAGAAGGAATATTCATATAGTAATGGTAGGAAGGGTAGAAAGTAAGCTACAGCAATCCTTAGAGAACTTATGTTTGTACCGAAAGACATAAGAACTAGAGTTAAAAATATGAGCCCATGTCTCAGATACAAATCTTCCCAATATTCTATTTGTTTCCCAGATACTAAAGTTAGAAGAAGCAAACTTATTTATCCCATGGTAGTATTTTACTGCCTTAGCATATAGGTAAGAATTTTGCTCACCAGTACTAATTCATCATTATCATCCCCCTATTCTTCAAGGTGAATCACCCGAGACTAGAGAACCTTGGTCTGAAATCCTCAGAAATCCTCTGAAGCTTTCCACAAACCAGTCTAATGAGACTCACCTTTAGGAACTGGACATGGTGGTGCACGCCTGTAGCCCAGCATTCAGGATCACCTCAAGTTGAGTCCAGCCTGAACTACAAAGCTAGACCCTGTCTCAAAAACAAAAGGGGAGGGTTTCCAGGACTGTAGCTCCTGCCTGGCAAATGCAAGGCCTGAGTTCAATTTTTAGTATCAAAAAAGAAAATAGTAAAAAGGAGAGACAGACAGACAGACACTCACTCTGAAGGAGTAAAGTGCTAATGGTGCTTTGTGGAAAAGGGATGACCTTCGTCACTGAATGGGCTCATTCATGGTTCAGTGATAGCAGTGTTGGTAACTGCCAGCCATAGTTTGAACCCACAAGTTCAAGGACTCAGTGCATAAAGCAGCGAGAAAGAATGAATATGGGATCCAGGATTCAAGCTCTACTTCCACCTTGTCCTAGCTGTTCTTTATCTCTGAAACAAGGAAAATTATTTCTCCTCATGGACCTGTTTTGACAGTGAGATAACTAAGATCAGAAGGTAACTAAGAACCTTCTGTCATAAAGGGGGTCCCCATGTTACTCCCTTTATGTTACAGACACATGCCCTGATTCCCCAAACTGAAAACAATCCCGTTTTTTTGCACACTGTGAAGATGCATGGTGTAACTGTGCATTAACTGTCCTCAGGAAACTCCTTGATCAGGACATAAATGAACTACAAAGGCAAGTGAGAACCTTACAGGAGAAAGAGAGTCAACTGGAAATGACCAGTTCTCAGCAACAAGAGGCCTTACTTAAGCAACTGGAAGACGAGAAAAGAAAATGTGATGAGGTAAGGAAGTAAACAGGCGCAGCCCCAGATTTCCTGCTCACACAGGTCTGAGAACCAGTGACTCCCCACTGGGCGCCCAGCACTTGACTCATTCAGCTCAGTCATGGTTGTGCCAGGAAGGCTCCATCTGCTGCAGGTGTGTCAAATGCCAGGGAGGGAAGTGGCTTCTCTCTAGCCTTCTAGGTTCTTTGGCAGGGCTACAAATGAAATCGACATAAGACAGATTAACTTCAATTATGTGCACACGCAAAGACATAAGAAAAAATATAAGGGCCGGGGAGAATAAGCACTTGCCTGGCAAGCGCAAGGGCCTGAGTTCAATCCCGGGTTCCACCAAAAAAAAAAAAGAAAAAGAAAAGAAATTTATATGGCATCCTGAGCTACAGAAAGGAAAGGGGGCTTTGGGGCCCTGGGGTGAGACGGGACAAATTAAGGGAGTAGGGGAGTATCTTTATGCAAATGGAAGGCTCTCAGGTAATAGAAGTGCCTGAAGCAGCCTTTTTCCTAACACAGATAATTTTTACAAGTCTAGATTTCTTGTGTAGATGTAAATGTCTTCTACAACAAGACAGCTTTTCAGAGCTACTCCTATTTCTGCAGTCTATTAGATTAATAGGAAGTATATTCAAGTATTACAAAGAAGTAGATTTTGGGTGGCAGATTCCTGTTTCCTGTGGGCATGACTGGGGAGATAGCTCAGTAGAATAAGCACTTGCTTGGCAAGCGCAAAGGGTCTGAGTTCAATCCCTGATTCCACCCAAAAAAAAAAAAGATTTCCTGTGGGCATGTGTTGGGGTGCTATGATCTGAACCCCAACACGAGCAGGGATTTAACATAGGGGGAAGGGTCCTCACAGTGAGGTTGGAAAGAACAGCAGAAAGAACAAAAGATCAGAAGGAACTGCTGTGGACTTTCAATAAATCAAGTTCAGAAGTCCCAGGGAAGCCACTTCAGGAGGCACCAATGTGAGGGCCTTGCAGGAGTCTCCCTGACCCCCTGTGATGTCTCATCAGCTCTCTTCCCACTCACCTACCTGCTCATGCTAAAGGAGTAAGACGCAATGAAAACTGGCTTTTCTCCCCATGCGCACACCGTACCTGGCCCCCTCCAGCTCTTGGGTTCTTGCTTGAGGGCAATGAAGCAGCACACAGCGAGCAGCGTGGAGTGGACAAAGGTGTGTTTATTCTAAAGAATAGAAGAAAAAGCTCTCTGCTTGTCAGAGTGGACACCATCGATGTTTAAATCCGTTGGCTTTTTCTACAGTTTTTGGTTATAAGTGAGTGTGAGAGAAGGTGGGGAAGCCCCTGGGTGCTGGTAGGCCTCTGGTGTCCAGAAGGCAGGCTGCTTTGTTTGCATCTTACTTTCTCCAGGGCTTCTCCCATTTGCTTAGGGACCTCTTTTTTGTTCCTTGCATTTCATTAGTTAATTATTTGGGCCCTCTGGTATTTTAACTCACTTAAGCCCCTACTTTTAGTTTACTTCAGGTTAACTATTCAGGACTTGTGTCCTATATGCCCAGCTTTTTTCTGTCTCCTGGATTTCACACCATTCACAAGACTTCTGACTCTCAGTGTATGGTTTATACACAGACATACACAGACACACACACACACATACACACACACACCAAGCAGCTCTTCAATTCTGTGTTCCCCCATAGGTGTACAAAAGTATAATTCAATTTGACATATATTCTTTTTTTAATGTATTTGGTATGGGGTCTCACTACGCAGCTTGGACTCACAGTGATCCTCCTGTTTTCAGCCTCCCCAGAGCTAGGATTACATGGGTGCACCACCACACCCAGTCTCCTTGGCTCAGCACGCCTGGGGCCTGGCTGGCATGGCAGCTGATGCTGGGCATTGAAGCCCAGTCCCTTCTCTTGCCTAAGCAGGCACTTAGTCCACTGAGCTATCTTGCTGGCCCTTGACATATATTCTTGGAATTAGCGTCTGATTCTGTTAGTTAAGGGCTCCATGCCACATGGCTCCATGCCACTTGAGATACCAATTGCAAGTCCAGTTTTACCTGTTTCTGTCTATTAGCTTTAAATCTGGGGCTTCTACAACCCACTATCAGGTTTGATCATTTGTTAGAATGGCTCACGAGACTCAGGAAGACAGCTGACTTACTAAGTCATTCACGTATTATAAGAGGACACAACTGAAGAGCAGCCAGATGGAGGAGATGCAGAGGACAAGGAAAGTGGGAAGAACCGGGGAGCGCCCCTGCCCTTTGGGCACCACCCGCCCTGCACCTCCACGTCTCACAAGTCGGAAGCTCTCAGACCCTGTTCTTCCGGGGCTTTAGGAAAGCTTCTGGCTTAGTGTCTGCATTAAAGCAGCTTAGAGGTCATCACCATTCTACCCTAGCCACCAGTTAAAAGCTCAACAAAGTGAAAAATATCAACAACTATTCCCCATCCATGAGAGAAATGATGTCACAGGGCAACTGCTGCCCTGAAACTGTAGATACTGTAGACAAACCCAGAGAACCGCAGCATACCAGAGTGAAAGCTCCATGAGAAATGGTTCCTGTGTAGGGCAACTGCTATGGCTTGTGTCTAGGTGGCCCCCAAAGCCTCATGCCGTCATGGAGTTCGTGATTGATTCATGATCCAGTGCTGGGATATGGGTGTGAGTGCCCTGGGACAGATGCTCTGCGTTACAATGTAAGGAGGGGAGAGAGACTAGCTAGCTGCCCAAGCTGCTGCCACTCCTTTGCTCTCTGCTCTTTGCTCCCACTCTGCCATGTGCCAGGCTGCCATGGCGCCAGCGGGGTATGGACTGAACCCTCCAGTAACTGTGAGCTAAATAAACCTTTCCTTACTTCATTTTGAGTGTCAGGTATTTATTCCAGCAAAGAGTAAAGAGTAACTGAGAGCAACCTGAAGTGTTCATTGGTGAATTATTTGAGGCTTGGTGTGGATAAGTTTAAGAGATAAAACTTCTAAGGGAACCAGTTATCAGGGGCCCTCATACCTCTGTGAATTTTGCCTCCTGGAGCTCAGCAGGTTCTTACTAGTGAATATCTGTAAACTAAACCCAGGGCCTTCCAACTGCACTACATCCTCAGTCTTTTTTTTTTTTTTTTTTTTAGACAATGTCTTGCTAAATTGCCGATGCTGGGCTTAAACCTATGATCCTCCTGCCCTCAGTTTCCCAGAGTGCTGAAATGCAGGCTTTTGTCACCACATCCAGCTCATCCTGAACTTCTCAACAAGGTCTGCCCTCATAGGGAGCTATTTAGCAGGAGCCTAACCTGGTGAAGCTTTGTTTAGGCCTCATTGACTTAGGAGAAGGGAAACACCCAACTCCTGCTAACTCTGTCCCACATAAAGGAGGGGGGAAGAAAAATCTGTGAAACTCACAGTCCAGAAGTACAAGCTCAGTAAAAGACTATAGGGCCGGGGAGATGGCTCAGTGGAATAGGCGCTTCTCTGGCAAGCACAAGGACCTGAGTTCAATCCCCGGTTCCACAAAAAAAAAAAAAAGAGAGAGAGAGTAAAAGACTGTAACCTAATCATAGGACTACAGAATGTTATCCATACACACACACACACACACACACACACACCCCTACCTTACCAGCACCTTACTAAAGAGCAGACATCACTGTAGACCCTACAAACGCTGAAATACTATAAACAGCTATGTATCCACAAATATGATAGCCTGGATGGAATGGACCAACTCCTCAGTCCTCATGTGGCACATGGATGGAAAGGCACCGTCCGCCAGATTCACATACAAAGAAATAGACAGGGCCTTCTGTAGTTCTGTAATCTAACCAACTAGAGCCAGTTGAGAAATTGAATCCTTAATTAATAACCATAAAACAAAAAGCATCAGGACCAGATGGTTTTCTTGGTAAATTCTACTAAACTAACTCGCTTGCTTGCTTCCTATCGCTTTCTTTCTTCCTCTCTTCCTTCCTTTCTTCCTTCCTTCTGTTGTTTTTGGAGGACCGGTGACTGTGCCCAAAGCCTTTGCACTGTGCTGCTTCCCCAACCCTTTTCTTATTTTCTGAGACAAAGTCTCACTAAGTTGCTAAATTGCCCAGGCTCAGCACAAATTTGTAGTCCTCCTGCCTCAGCCTCCCAGTGTGCCAGGATTACAGGCATGCACCACCATGCCTAGCTCTACCAAACACTTAAGAAACAAATTATGCCAGTTCTTTATGCCCTTTAATAAAACAAAAAAGAGGTTATACTTCCTAACTTATTCTGTGAGGCCAGAATTACCTTAATACCAAAATCAGACATTATAAGAATACTGCAGATTACTATCTCTTATGAATATAGACATAAAAATCCTCAATAAACTGGGCATGGTAACACATGCCTGTAATCTCAGCACTGGGGTGGCTGAAGCAGAAAGAACACAAATTCAAGACTGTCCTGGGCTGTGTCAGGTTTTCAAGGGTAACCTATATAGCAAGACCCTGTCTCCAAAAGGAAACAAACTGGGGCCGGGGCAATGGCTCAGTGGAATAAGCGCTTCCCTGGCAAGCACAAGGGCCTGAGTTCAATCCTTGGTTCTACCAAAAAAAACAAAAAAACAAAACAAAAAAAAACAAAACAAAAAAACAGGAAACAAAATCCTCCCCAAAATATTAACAAATTGAATCTAAAATGTATATTTAAAAAAGTATTTACTAAGTTGTTCAACATTTGGAAATCAATTATATAATCTATCACATCCACAGGCTATCAGTAGATACTACCTTAGTTTGTATTTTATAAAAAATACCTAAGACTGGGCAGTTTGTAAAGAATAGATATTTACTTGATACAGTTCTGCAGTCCAGAGTCCACAGAGAAGCACCAGCAGGACTGGTGTTGGCGGAAGGCTGCTCTCAGCTTCTAGGATGGTGCCTTCTTGCTGCATCCTCCACGGCGGCATGGGAACCGTGTCCTCATGTGGCACACGTAGCAGAAAGGCACACAGGCTCACCCTTGAGCCTCAAGGCCTTTTCTGAGGTGCTAATCCCCCTCATCC